TTCCTTATCCTTGAGTGACATCTCATGAGCAACAATTCTTCCAATGACTTCTATTGGCTTGAGATCTTTGTAATTGGGCATCATTTGGATCAATGTGCACACGGTATCATATTTTCCATCCAAGGCTCATAGTATCTTCTTGGTGATGAATTTATCGGTCATCTCTTCACTTCCTAAGCCGACAATCTCATTTGTGATGAGAGCAAGACTAGAGTACATCTCAGCTACACCTTCACCATCCTTCATTTTGAACTTGTCAAGTTGACTTTGAAGCACATCCAATTTGGATTCCTTGAAGGAGTCGGTACCTTCACGCATGTCAATCAAAGTATCCCAAATTTCCTTTGCATTCTCAAGACGACTGATTTTGTTGAATTCTTTGGGGAACAATCCGTTGAAGAGAATATCACAAGCTTGAGCATTGTATTGCAGCATCTTCAACTCTTCCGCGGTAGCTTCACGGTTCAGTTCTCTTCCATCAAAGAATTCACCTTGCAAGCCAATACACGCAATAGACCAAACGGCGGGGTTATGTCCAAGAATATGCATTTTCATCTTATGCTTCCAACTAGCAAAGTTTGTACCATCAAAGTAAGGACCTCTACGGTGGTAATTTCCCTCGCTAGACGCCATACTCTCCTAGGTTGTGAAACCAAGGCTATGAACACCAAAAGCTATGGAAATCAAAGCAAATGGAGACCAAAGCTCTAATACCAGTTGTAGGATAGAAAGTATGTCTAGAGGGGGGGTGATTAGACTACTTGACCAAATAAAAATCTAGCCTTTCCCTAATTTTAGTTCTTGACAGATTTTAGCAACTTAGCACAAGTCAAGCAATCAACCTACACACGCAATTCTAAGAGTATAGCAACGGAATGTAACAATTGCATATGAAGGTAAAGGGGAGGAGTTTGAGGAAGCAACCGCAATAGGAGACACGGATGTTTTTGTCATGGTTCCGATAGGTGGTGCTATCGTACATCCACATTGATGGAGACTTCAACCCACGAAGGGTAACGGCTGCACGAGTCCACGGAGGGCTCCACCCACGAAGGGTCCACGAAGAAGCAACCTTGTCTATCCCACCATGGCCGTCGCCCATGAAGGACTTGCCTCACTCGGGTAGATCTTCACGAAGTAGGCGATCTCCTTGCCCTTACAAACTCCTTGGTTCAACTCCACAATCTTGACAGAGGCTCCCAAGTGACAGCTAGCCAATATAGGAGACACCACTCTCCAAGAAGTAACAAATGGTGTGTTGATGATGAACTCCTTGCTCTTGTGCTTCAAATGACAGTATCCCCAACACCCAACTCTCTCTCACAGGATTTGGATTTGGTGGAAAGAAGATTTGAGTGGAAAGCAACTTGGGGAAGGCTAGATATCAAGATTTATGTGGTAGGAATGGAATATCTTGACCTCAACACAAGTGTAGGTGGTTCTCTCTTAGAAAATGTATGTTGGAAATGTAGGCATGTTCTAATGGCTCTCTCCACGAATGAAGAGGGGGTGGAGGGGTATATATAGCCTCCACACAAAATCTAACTATTACACACAACTTACCAAACTCGGTAGGACTGAATAGTGAAACTCGGTCAGACCGATTTAGTTCATAATGTGACCGTTAGGCATTTCGGTGGGACCGACATGTCAACTCGGTGGGACCGATATCGTTAGGGTTAGGGCATAACGTAATCTCGGTGAGACCGATTACACAAACTCGGTGAGATCGATTTTGGAAATAGACAAACAGAGAGTTGGTCAGGCAAACTCGGTGGGTCTGATTCGCTCATCTCGGTTGGACCGAAACGTTACGAAAGGGAAACAGAGAGTTTGCATTGCAATCTCGGTGGGACCAATCGCTCATCTTGGTTGGACCGAAATGTTACGAAGGGAAACAGAGAGATTACAATCCCATCTCGGTGATACCGAGATCCCTATCGGTGAGACCAAAAAGACTAGGGTTTCTGGCAGTGGCTATGTCAAGTGAACTCGGTGGCGCCGGATAGAAAGTTTCGGTAGGGCTGAGTTTGACTTTTGGTTTGGGACATATGTAGATGTGAGAAGGTAGTTGAGGGTTTTTGGAGCATATCACTAAGCACTTTGAGCAAGAAACTCATTAAGCAACACCCCATCCCCTCTTGATAGTATTGGCTTTTCCTATGGACTCAATGTGATCTTAGATCACTAAAATGAAAAATGTAGAGTCTTGTGCTTTGAGCTTGAGCCAATCCTTTTGTCCATAGCATTTTGAGGGGTCCACGTTTCTCATCCATGCCATGCCAAACATTGAGCTTTCCTGAAATATTTATCTTGAAATAGCATTAGCTCAATGCGCTATATGTTGTTAGGAATTACCAAAACCACCCAGGGATAGTTGCACTTTCAATGTTACATCTTACGAGAGTAGAAAGTACTACAAAGGTGAGAATGTGCTTGCTGCTGTTGATTTTTATTTCAAGTTCACATACGTGTTAGTTGGTTGGGAAGGATCGTCCCATGATGCTAACGTCATTGCTGACAACATGGCTCAACCTGATGGGATCAATACCCCTGATGGTAAGTTCTACCTGGGAGATGCTTTATATGCATGCCGACATGCGGTTCTTCTACCCATTAGGAAAACCAAGTACTATCAGTGGGATTTCCGCTAGGAACTATCCTAAGACTATTGTCAAATTGTTCAGTCTGCCTTGGAGTTATGGTTAAGAGGACATTTGATGCTTTGAATAATAGATTTACGATCCTTGGTTCGAAGACCACCCAAAATAAGTTTCTTTTTGCATGTTGCATTTTTCGTAACTGGACCTTAGATCGGGATCTTGATGAGTATGTGTTGGAGGAAGTGACGACTAATGATCTTGCCTCTGGCCATGGTGTGAAGGCATGTGCCAATGAAGCTTCAAAGAACAAAATGATGGAGTGGACTGAGTCAATGTGGGCTAGCAGAGGCAACACAAGGATACGAATAAGAAGATAAAGAGGATGAGGAGGAGGAGGAGGAGGAGGAGGAGGAGGAAGAAGAAGAAGAAGAAGAAGTGGATGGTGAACTTCCCCATTGTTTGTTAGTGATGAACTTCCCCCTTTGTCCATAAGGCTGATAATTCGGTATCATTATATGTTAGTAGATAATGAGTTGATCATTTCTTTAATATGCAGGACTGAAACGATGTTAATTTCGTATTGCCTCTGTATTTTATTTTGTGGTAAGGTCGTCACTACTAGCAACTAGGGGCAACCACAACAGTAGGCCGAGAGGAACCAAACATCATGTAATTGCATTTTCAGAAGCATAAGCCATCCAGTACTACCACTCAAACAGTATGTAACAAATTATATAATGATACAATGCAGCCAACCAAATAAACAAAGTGCATAGCATGGCCAAGAGCCTACACATCCTAGCTATTGACAAGAATGTGGGGAAAAAATGTTTGGTGCCCGGACTATGGGTAGCTCTTTTGGTCAGTAAAGTTTAAACATATTTTTAGCGAAAAAACAAACATGAATATGCTTCCACACGCACCCATGTGAATAGTGAACTCGAAAAAACATACTAGAAAGACCAAACAAATAAAAAATGTTTGGAGTATCAAACTCGGTCAACAATTCTACTCATGTGTGAAGTTACATACTAGGGCATCGGATATGACATCACTTGGAAGTACGACTAGTGGCTGCTACTCGGCAGCCTCCACCGACAAGAGGGCACCAACGACATCACTTGGAAGCACACAACTAGTGGCCACTACTAGGCGGCCTCCATCGACAATGCGCAATTTTTGGGTGCAACCCTCACCTCCATGGAAAAGGATGGTTTGGAAAGCTTGGGCACTATGAGGTTAATTTTTTTGTTTGGTTGGCCAAAATGTAAGACCCAAAATAACTAGATTAAAATGAGAAGGCCAATTTGGCTCGCGGGCTCAGCTGCACCCGCGACGACGAAAAAAATCAAAACAAATACTAGAAAAATTCAAAAAAATCCAATTTTTTTTGGGTGGTAGATAATTTGATGCGTGAGGTTCGCTGCAAAATTCAACTCATTTGGATATTTGAGCATCTCTCGGCAAAAGGGACAAAATCGGGGTGTGTAAAAAAGTTTACTGTTCACGAACTGTTTTGACCCGATTTGTCTTTTTTGCGAAGAGCTGCTCAAATGTCCAAAAGAGTTGAAATTTGCAGCGGTCCTCACGCAACAAATTATCTACTACATAAAAAAATTGGATTTTTTTGAACTTTTTTGTATTTATTTTGAAATTTTTTATGAGAGGGAGCATCTGAGCCTGGCCTCAGATGCGGATTTTCGGATTGAAATAGGCTATTTTTATGTTGCCACATATCCGTCTTTTATGTAGCCTACAAGTCACCATATAGTTATTCCCACAAAAAAGATCATCATATATTACCCCCGCCGATTCATGAGAAGTGTCATACATTATTTAACAACAATTTAGAAAACATCTATAGGCACCCAATTTTTTTAATTTGTACACATACATCAGTTCTGTTTTTGAAATTTCGAGGATACAAAATGCTCTACCGGTGAGTATACCTGACCATCCTTCAGGCCGGGCCGGGCCTACCAAAGTCCAACATGAAAAACCTAGGCCTGAGCCTGGCCCGGCCCAGCCATCGGGCTTAAAAATCAGGCCCAAGCCCAGCCCAACACACAAAAAGCCCATCAAACCTCGGGCTGGACCTCTTTGTTAAACTGCAAATATGATGGGCCTGAGCCCGGCCATCGGGCTCAAAATTTAGGCCCAGGCCCGGTCCATGGGCAAGGTCGGATCGGGCTTTTTCGGGCCGGGCTGCCCATGGCCAGCTATACGCGGCGAGGCAGGCATGGTAGCGCGCCCTGCGCCAGTCCCCTGTACGACCCCCCACATCGGCTTAGCGCGCGCGAACACAAAACTCACAGAGCCACGGGCGCCAAACTCGATCTAGCCGAGCGCCCAAAAATCCGGTGGAAAGGAGGGGAGGAGAGCTCCAGAACCCTAGCCATGGCCGGGGAGGCAGGAGGGGGGCGGCCCCGCGACTGGCTCTCGACAGACGAGACGGCGGCGGCCTTCCTCTCCCGCTCTCTCTCCACGCGCCCCCCCATCCTCCTCCCGGCGCCGCTCCACCGCGCGCCGCTTCGCCCGGGCAACGTTGTTGAAATCGCTGGCCCGTCCGGCTCCGGCAAGTCCCAGCTGCTCCTCATGGTAAGCGGAATTCCAGCGGTTACACACCTTTCCCCCCTAAAATGTTTGCATTTAGCGCCACAGGGTAGTACGCTGCATACTTGCAGGAGTTCACATCTGTAGCTGGAAATACTGTAGCAGTTCACCGTAAGCTTTGATTGATAGGAGTGTTTATGAAGTCGCATAAACAGAGGGGCAATCTGCATCTATAATATCAGTTCAGAATTTAACCTATACTGTAAAATAAATAAGTGTGATATACATGTCCTACAGCTTGGATCCGTACGTGGTCCTTACTCACTCCTACGGACTCCAGGGAGCCTTTGGTTACTGGGTGCAACCAATGGGAGATGGTGGCTCGGGTTATATTCAACCGGTTCGGATGGCGGTCGCATAACAGGATAGGAGTCTAGAGAGCTTGTCCTTACTATCACCATACCGGTTGTCTTTTGTGCTTTATTTTGCTCCGTTTGCGAGCTGTAAGACCTTTGTAATGACTATTTCTGGATTTTTAATAAAAAGGCTGCATGCATCATCATGATGCAGAGGCCGGGGGTATACCACCATTTCAAAAAAAAAAACATGTACCGCCAAAAATCTCGAGGACTTTAGGAATCCAGGGCAATTTGTATGGATTAAACAAGTTCATGGCATTGCTGAAACATATTGGCGGCGTGCAGAAAATGAAGAAACAATACTTTCAGTGCTTCATATGCTTGGAACTAGCACACCTGCCTACCTTTCAGTGTTTTGTTACATGCAAATGTGGATTAAACGGATGCCATTTTAACACCTGATTTTTTCATATCAAATGATGCAAAATGTTGGTAGCGATCTGTAATAAATATCTCAGCTCAGTGCGCGATTGCTGGTATGTTAGTCTGCAGTGCAGTGCATACTACCAAAGGAGTGGGAAGGTGTCTATTTCGGCGGCCTGGGGAAAACAGTCATGTACATTGACTTGGACTGCCGATTTGATGTGCTGCGGCTGGCTCAGATCCTGAGGAAGCGCATTGCGGCGGGCTGTGGTACATTGTACTTAAATTGTTAAATTTGCATTACAATTTGTCAATTTGATGCATATCCAGTTTAGGTCAAGCTAAAATATAGAAATCTTTCCTCACCAAAAAACAATCTGTATAGTGCCTATAATAGTGTGAACAGTGAAATGACTGCCCATGCTTTTTTTTTTGCCCATGGGGTTGGAGTAGAACTGGATTAATAATGTGGCTTGGTTGTTGGATTTTGCGCCATTGCTTTTAGCCTCTCTGTGCTCATAATCTACACTATATAATGTCCAGTCTTCATGGAGCAGAGATGTGCTAAAAATTGTACTATTTGATTTCTCATTCTTAATGTCTTCCTTTTTCTTATATTTCGCAGGTTCAGTGCATCCAACAAATGAAAATTTTGAGACTGATGGTTCAAAAGATAAATTTCATTCGTTTGAAAGTACACTGTTTTCTGATTGCATGAAGCGTTTCCTGTGTGTCCGCTGTTACAATAGTTCTGAACTTATAGCTGCTTTGAAGGCAAGTTCTATATGTTTGTGACATATACACCCGAGCACGTTACTACTCTTGTGATGTGTTCATATTTTTGTTGTCTGTTCCTTGGTTTACTTGATTTAGAAATTAATTAAAACATATAAATAAGCTATTGCTGATCGTTAGAACCATTGGAAATAACTAGTTAAATTATTTTGTTTATGAGTTTATCCATGTTGCATTATTGCGATGTGGCCAAAGCCCAAAGGTTCTATTTCTAGCTAGAGAAAACTATGTACATTTTCTCATTTCCATTGGCTGCCCAGTCGTGCAACTTTCATGTTATTTTGTTTTTTGGTACCCTTTTAGTCAATTGGATCTTGGCTGAAAAGGTGATAATGATAGAACTTGGGCATGTAGCAGGCTAGCAGCACACATGTTTGGGGATAAGCATACATCATTATCATCTGATAAATACTATATGTGTGGTGTGTACAGCATGTCAACACACCATATTTAGGATCATCATGTAGGTGTTTGATGCTTGGAGCTTGATTGTTCGAAAAATAAGATACTTGTAAGAGTGAACAAAACACAGAGAAAGTTATTGGGTGCTATGTGTGGGATGAGTTACGAACAAGACACTTATGCCTGTCTCTTGCAACAGTCTAGGGGGTATACCATAATAAGCTATATCTTCATGTTTATGTAAGATGATTGTATTTCTTATATCTGGTTGGTGACTTCACAGAGTCTAAAATCTCAATCTGAAGCAAGGAACGAAATGTTTGGTATTGGTATATATTTCCTTATGTTAGACAGGTATGTTGCTGGCTTCTTAGAATTTATCCGGTTTTGTTTAACTGGCCAATTGAAGTTATAGTTACTGTATCAAAGTGATGCTTCTCCTTTTGTACTTTAAATTGTTATCACCAAATTATGCTCCATTCCTGCGGAATCATAGTGTTTGTTTATCCACTTCTTTTCTGTATTTTTCAATCACGTTGCTGGCTAACTGTTTTCTACTGTAACATATCCCCTTTTACAGCATTGGCGCATTCTACTGGATAGATCGTGCTCTTCAACCTACTAGAGAGAGTAAAGGGTGATCACAACAAACATTACATGCAATACTAGTTTCATAGCCTCCTGTTCTTATTATGTGCATATCTTCAGTAACAGTTGGTTAGGCATGCATGCTTTATTTGGTTATTGCTTCATGTATTATGTGGAAGTCACTGTATACATGTGACTATTAGAAAAGCCTTTATCTCTACTTTGGTATAAGGAATTATCTCAAATGTATGCTACTGAAGAGTAGTATGTCACATGAAAATAGTCACTCTCATACTGTGCGTCATATAGGAACTAAACATAAAATCAACAGTTACAGCATGGTATATACACACCAACAAGTTAGCAGACTCAGTTAGCTAACAGTTAAGCTGTAATAGTTAAAATAAATAAATATTTTTAACTAATATCAGAAGCATCATCAATGCAGAAAGAAAGCATCATGGTAAGTACAGAATACAATTTACGTTTGATTTTCACTTCGACGACCAACTAGGCAACTAGTGGAACGATGCAAACAATGTAGATTGCCAGAATATAGATATATAGTAACATGGTGCTTATGAGTTATGAACCAAGTCAAACACATGTCGGTGCTGGAAACATACCCAATTTTCTCAAATCCAGAAATTTCCAGCGTATTTACACTTATCTTAGAAGTGGATTATGGGTGTAAAAACCAGGACAATAGCTGGTTCAATTAATTACGGATATGCAGTTTGCAAGCGCAATGGGGCCTCAGCGCTTCATGCATTTTTCAGGAATCATGTCTGCAGGAAAAAGCACCAAATTCCATTTTTGACTGAATAATCCCTTTTCTCGTTTCCATGCTTGAGCACTCCCTTATTAACACCTCTCTGCTTCTTGGCCAAACTTTTCACACCTGTCTTTGCAGGAAAACTCTATCATTTCAGAGTATCACCGAAACTGTTGTCCAGGAGATACACAAGTTTTTGCAACTTCAACCTATTTTGGTGTTGGTCACAAAGGCACCTATTTATGGTGAAGGAATCACAACATCCAACGACTTCCAAAGGTAACCCATGATCTATTATCACTAAACACTGTTGCAACTTGAGACTTAAAAATGTGCACTCTATTTCTGCTGCTGTTGTGTAAATGTATATGTTGGATGCTAGGACTGACCGAATCAGTTTGAATCTCGCTGATCATTCGTGGAGGTTGAACTTCTTAGGTAACTTGAGATTATAGAATATTAAGATTATGTTTTCTTGTACTGAACAGTCAAAACCTTTTCTATAGATTTATGAATTTATGCAGTACAAGAGTACTGTTTCCCGTAAAGAAAATCCTTTTCTGTAGTGTTTAGACCTTGGAATGCAGTAATCAGGCATGGTAAAGTTGATTCATTTAGTAAACCATTGCCATGGTTTGAATATGGAAAAACGGAGCAAAATAGGCACTCTTCACTGGCAGGTGGTGATACACTGATCGTGGTTTCAGTTTGTTCACCTTAACTTCATTTTACCTAATTCAACATGTTGTGGTATATAACCAAAAAATCATACTCCATCCACGATCAGTGTATCACCAACATGTTGAATTAGGTATTTCAACGTACTGCACTGTGTTGAGTAGTTCCTTGATATAAAACTTCTCTTCTGAGTAGTTCCTTATCAGTACCAAACCATTTAAGCAAAATAAATGTTTCCAGGACAACTTTAGCGCCTTTACGTCTTTTCAGAATCTATTGTTTGAGCTACCCCATCTGCACATTCAACAATTTTTGAGTAATGACTATCTCTTGGCTTATGACCCCTTCCATGTCTGCACTCTGCAATAATAGGAGAATGTGCCTTTTGTTGTTGTGCTTTCTTAATCGCGAGACTCCAGGACCTAATGAATTGCGTAGCTGAAATTTGCATATAGTGATTAATTTTTTTATATATTTTCCTATATTTCTTATGTAATCATTCACAATATATAAATTTATTCGTACCATAGAATGCTGAAACAGTACTATATGTACATGTGTGTTTCTACCAAGACATTAAACCTTTCCATTTTAGTTGTGACCACTGTTTCGATCAGCAGAATTTATTTCATGTGATGGCCCGTGTTGTTAAATGTTTTGTTTGCTAGGTACTATGAATTTCTTTTTTAAAAATCAACATGTTTCTCTGCCTCGTATTCCTAGGAAGCCTGAAATAGGTTGTCCTTTTAATGGTATTTAGGGGTTCTTCAAAATACATGTCAGAGGATTCAACAGCTTTGGGATATCCGAAACGGGAAGAAGAAAGAAATGGTTCATGTCGCGAATACATGCCATCTGCATGGCAGGTCCCATCCTTTCCTCACCAAAAAGCTAGTTTGATGTCATATGACAAATTCTTCAACAAATTACCAGTTAGCTTCAGTTACTTTTCATTCGTTGCTGTGCACACATCTTTATGTTGCTAGGTGATCTCTACTAATATCTGAATAATGATAAATACATAGTGGTCTAAAAGCTTTCTAATTTTGTGTTTTACAGACATTTGTTACGCACAGGATAAAGTTGCAAGACTTAGGTTGGTAAATGCACTTCTCTACGATTTATTTAGTGTAGCAAGTTGGTCCCTAGCCTGCAGGGTTCGACCCTCATGGCCTCTTTAAGGACAAGCTGGGTGAGGAGGGTCCCCCCCTCCTCCAGTGTCACTTATATTATAAATTATCTAATTACTGCACACTTATTGGATTGTCCTTTACAGCACAAGAAGCAGGGTTTTTCTCTGAGCAGGAAAATGCAATACTTTCTGTGCATACTTGTGAGTGGGTGCAGCCTTCGCTGAACATAAAAGAGAAGTTCTATATCAAGGATGTAAGCTCCTGAGGCTTATTTTATTATTTTCTTTCTAGTTTTCCTTATCAATGTGGCCAACTTCCATGTTTGTTTTAACCTAGATGATTCCTTTCCAATGATCAGGACGGTGTTGGCCTTATACAGTGAAGCCTATCAGTTTCTGTGCTGGCAGATAGCATGACTTGTCCGACCTCCTACAGAACTGTTGTGATCTGTGATAAATGCATGTACAGGAAATGCTTAAGTAATATGTCCTCGGGTATTATATGGCACAGAACCCTAAAGCAACAGGGATATTATTTTGAAGGTTGCCGTTTTTCCTCTGACTGATTTCACAATTGGCATGATTAATCATACACTCATACTTTGTTGGTTGTTGCAAGAGACTACTTTTCACACTAAAACCCCAATATAGACTGACTGAACATCATTGTTGCACTATTAACAGAAGTAGCATTTTTAAATACTGAATATGATAATTTTTTTGATCAGGTAACCGTTTGTGCTGTCTTCCGATATTTGGCATGGCATGATCACATGATGGGACCTGACATTATAATTTACAATTTTACATTGCTCCAGGGAAAAGTAAGTCTGGCTTCTTTATATTCTCTGAACTGCTAACGGTTGTTTAGCACTGTTGTCATTCAAATCTAATTCAAATGTCTTGTTCGATTTTTTCCTAAGTTCATGACGTTTCACTTTTCTATGGTCATTAGGCAGTACACTTGCTGTTTAACTTAACATCAGAAGGTGAGAGGGAGAACCCAAAGGTGATATGCTCAAGAGGAGTGTTTCAGCTGGTATGACCTTCCTAGTCATCTAAGGCCTTGTACAATGGGAGGTGCTTAGGAGAGGTGCTTAGAGAAATAAACCAGGCTTTTCTTAAGCATCGGTGCCTATTTGTACAGGATAACTAAGCGTCTATCCTGTACAAATAGGCATCGGTGCTTCAGAAAAACCCGGTTTATTTTTTTAAGCATCTCTCTAAGCACCTCCCATTGTACAAGGCCTAACAGCCCATATTCGAGCAACCCTGATGATGCCATCATACATGTCGCTTCCTCTGTTCCTAGGGATTTTACAGATTATAATGTAGTTTATGACTCGTCCTGAGCCCAAGAAACTGGGGGGACTTAAGTTTATAGGGTATGGGGGATGCGATCCAGGTTGAACATAAATAGGTTATAAATTCAACTTGTTGATTTTTTCAAGGCCAACTGTTTGGCTGGTTGTCGTGGAATCATTCACCAACTTTTCAGCCTAGGTCTAAACTGTTCTTTATGTATTAATATACCACCAGCCCATTGTCTTTTGTTCATCACGCCGCCTAGCACTATGAGAAACCTTGTTGCCAAAAAACATCTCATTTGATGCTGCGATCTTCGCATGTTTCCCACATAAACATTTGTCGCGAGTTCTCTACCCAAGCTTCTAGCTGTCTGATTAATCGTACCTAATCGCTTTGGATTCCCTCGCAGATTCTTGTGCCCCCAGCTGGTGTTTCTTGTTCATTCCTAGGAAGATACGCACCCTGTCTTGGTCATCGTTGTCGGAATGTCGCTTGTCATTTCTCAGCCGCTCTAGCATTTTGCCCTTTTTTAATGAACTGTTGTTATTCTAGTGGAGCATAGCATCACATGATGTAGCAATAGAACTGTGGTACAATCAGCCTGCGAAAGGGAGGTGCAGTCCGCTGCCCACTGGCAATGGTCTATTTCTGCCGGCCTTGCAACTGACATCAGATGTCGCTCTCTGTTTTTCTGTAACCATGCACGCAACAGGTGAGTTGAGATGGTGATGTTGACTTGATGTAGCAATCATACAAAAGCAGCGGCCGCAGCAAATGGGATGCATTGTTTTTCACTGAACCGCACGCACTCTGAAGTCATCAAGATCGTCAGGTCACCCGGTCCCGTGCCATGTGTTGCTACCCGTAGGCCGTCTTCATCACAATTTCTGATGTGTATCATTTTTCAAGGGGGGTGCACTAGAGCAGTTTGCGTGCCACTCTGATGCTGCTACGCCAGCTCTGAGAGGTAGATCGTCTGCCTTTCCGTTGCTGCAGAATTGAAGATATGATGATAGTTCACTCTGACTTGCGCACTACAAAAAAGGCAGCCAACGATCGATCTTCGGACGCTTCTGTTTATAACTTCAAAAGTTAAAGTACTTAGTGCAATTAACGCTGCTTTGGTGCGTCCCACTCAGCCAGTGCTCGACTTGACTTCCCCGTGCCCTATCTAATGAATAAGGAGAAGGCTGGCCTGTCTATGACCTAGCAAGTTCGATCTCCTTTGTGGTTGCTGCAAACAATGTACGAAGTTTCTATAATTGTGCCAAATAAATTTAATCCTTAATATTTAAAATATGTGAGGAACTTGTACAAAGAAAAAAAAACTTAAACATAAAAGGCAAAATGTGTCAGGGACAAATACGACCGAATTAAAAACCCACTATGCATTAATGCACATTGTATGGTAGAGACATTCTTATGTGTGGATCAGGCTAGGGCCGTCTCCAGGAATTCGGAGCCCCGGTGCGAAAAGCAAAATAAGGCCCTAACATAAAAAACATATAATAACACAAGCATAATCACCTAATTATGTAATTAAAATTTATGTTATTTCATATAATGCTTATAATATTCTCAATTATCAATTGAAAATACTAAAACCAATAGGACGAGCAACTAGTGAAATATAGTCTTGTGACTTGTATAGATAAATAGAAACTTAGAATCAGATAGAACCTTGATTTTGGACTTCGACAATAGGACGAGAAACTAGTGAATTCTTGAATCTGTGTGTCGGAGTAAATGACCACGGGTAGCCTAGCCGGCTCCCTTTGGCCCTTCGAAAAAGTAACAGGCTGATCAGGCCTTCAAGCACCCAGGGCATGGGGCCGCCTTCCCCCGGCCGGCTGTCTCGCAGGCCGACTATCGAAAGGCGGCCCAACCCTAAACTCTCATGGAGGAGGCCATGATACGGCCAACTCCAAGAAGCCGGCCATGAAAAGACCGACTCCAAGAAGCCGACCACGAAAAGACCGACTCCAAGATCGTGCCCTCAAAGTCCGCACCCCCGTAACGATGATGAAACAGGGTGTGGCAACAACGAAGCCTGCCACCCCCGAATCCCGGAGCACGCCTGGCCACAGTACGCCGTACGGGGTAGCCATCACCCGTCCGGCGCGGCACTGTTGCCATGCTGACCATGACGCCCTCCACGACGATCTGACAGTACGGCCCGCAGGCGGCGGGTCCCTTCGGTCAGAGAGACGCACGAAGGCGGCCATGCCTCCCCCAGTCGGCCTGGGTGCGGTCGGCTTCCAATAGCCGGCTTGCTCCCCTCCTCGAAGCACGCGCGCCATTAAGGAGACAAGACGAGGTAAGGCTATAGTGAGAGCCCGCTAGGCGGCGACATTGTAGCCATGCTTACCTCGACGAAGCCCTCATCATCAAGGGCGAGGCAACAGTAACCAACCCCCGACAAGACCCCCAAGCGGTGGGGCCCGCTTGTCGGCTAAGAGGCCGGCAGCCGGCGGGACCCACCAGTCGGCGGGCCCCAGCGGTCGGCGGAGAAGCCGGCGACCGTAGACACTGACGGCTAGGGCCCACGCCCAGCCGGATTACCACTGTACCCCTGGGGGTAGGCCTATATAAACCCCCCAGGGCACCCATGCAAAGGGTTGATCTCAGAGAGTTTTAGCCACTAGAACAAGGGGAGAAGAGAGCTAGCCTTGCCCTTCTTCCTCCTCCCACCGAACAGCTCAAGGAGCCTCTTGTAGCCACTTGTTGATCTAGTGATCATGCGGAGACCCCGCAAAGCAGGACTAGGGGTGTTATCTCCACGGAGAGCCCCAAACCTGGGTAAGATCCGCCGGCGTGCATGTCTTCGCCTTATCCCGTTTCCAGGCACCGACGATGTCTTACTGGCTTCCACAATGATAAGCCATTCGTTGGCATATGTCGCACCTACCACTCGACATTTGGCGCCCATCATGTGGCCAGGTGCACCGTCGTCCGGAGACCTGCTCTGGACGGGAATCCTTTTCCTCCCTAGCGAGCGTAGCCAGCCCAGCACGCCCGATGGCGCTTGCCCCGATGCGCTGCAAGGCGTCGATGACGCCTGCGCGGCGAGCTGCCTCGCCGATCTTCTTGGCGAGGCCCGTATCTCCGACGAGCCTGCATCCGACGCGGGCACGGGCTGCCTCGAGAGCCGCCTCGCCAGCCTCCTCGACCAACTCTACGTCTCCAGCGAGCCTATCGTGGATTTGGAGTCGGTTGGCTCCACCGACCCGATGCTTGTCGACTCCGACACGGCATCGCTTGACGCTTTCCCCACCAACGTGATAATCTTCGACGACCCTCTCCCTCGAGCCGACAGCGGCGACAACACCGTCACCGAGGTACTAGTCATCAGTCACGGCGCCACCTCTGGCGAGAACGCCCACGACGCCCTGCAAGCGGCGCTGCACGACTTGTCCGCCCCATCCCGGCCGACGTCGATGCCGAGACGCTGGAGGCACGCCGCCTCGCCCTCCTTGCGGAGGGCCAGAAGATAGCCTCCATGAGATGCCTCACTGAGGCTCACCAGCGCGAAGTTGACCGCGCCGCCTTCGGTACGCCGCCCCCTGACGGGCCGAGCCGAGCCGGCGTCGTCAAGAAGCGCGGTGCGGCCATCGCCAACATGCTGGGAGCAGACCGCCCAGTCTACGCCACGCCCCTCGAGAACCTACGTGCCGCCCAGGCGGCCGCAGACGAGCTGAACGGACTAGGGGCTGACGAGCTCCCTTACATGACCAGACGCATCCAGCAGTTGATCGACGCGGCCGCGGAGCGACATGAAGCCAACGCCCGCGCTGGAAGTCCCTCCCCCCCACGCCGAGAGCACGGTGCGACGTCCCGAACGCCGACTGCCGGCGGCGCCCCTGCAAGACAAGAAAAGGAGCCGGTTGCTAGCCGCACTCGGACTCGAATCACCATCGAGCGCGACGCTGAAGGCCGCCCTCGAGCTGTGGAGCGACGATGCAATCTACCTCCTCCTCCGCCTCGTGGGGAGAGATATCCCACCCCGCCGCCTGTCACGCATCCGACTCTCAGCGGCCGACTAGGCCACCGAGAAGGAGTCGGCGAGAATGACGCC